TCGGCTGGTCCACCTCTGCGATTGCAACTGATTAGCTTTCGTACTGTGGACTGGTAGCTCGGCGGGGATACGCCCACCAAAGGGAGGTGACAGCTTCCGTAACTACGAGGTAAGTTGTGCCTCGCGTATGCCCTATCCTGTCGTAGGGGCTCGCGAGAGGTATGGCTGGCGCACTCGGCCGGAGCGGCTTGCGGAAGCTCCATGTATATTCGCGACAAAGGATATAAACCAACTCATGCGTGACGCGGCCGGGAGGGTCCCGCGCTGCCCTGGTGCGGTGCCGGACCGATGCGCTCGACAGGTGGGCCCGTTGCCAGGGATAACGGAAATCCTACCGTTGTCTCTGGTGGAACGACATCCGGGTATGAGAAGTGAATGGGAAAAAGGCATAAAACAATGACGAGAAGGTAAGAAAAAGTAATGAGTGACTAAGTATAGGTGAGGAAGTTTACCTACCTGAGTTAGGGGAAGTATGAAGGACGATCGTGCTAGCATTGGGTAAAGTATGTACTAAGGGTTAGGTAGGACGGATGGAATAGACCGGTAAAGGTGCAATGCTGAATAAAAGAGGTGTGCTTGTTTTCTCTTGTCAGGGAGCTTGAAGAGAAGAGTCTGTCAAGATGTCGCAGGGCGGCGGCGCATCAGGTGCTCCCAAGAAAGGTCTGACGCTCGATGACCTCATCACGGTTATTGACAAGCATGAAAGAAATCCGAGCAATATCCCCAAGGTCGATACCTTCCATTTTTGTGGGGAGAGAGTTTCAAAATGGCTGGAGAAAGTGAAACAAGCTCTGGTCGGGCGGTCGGATGTTGTAAAGTTTCAGCGCATTCTCCAGTATGTTCTCCATAGCTACCACCAGGAAGTGAAGAAAGTTATAGATGCGGCCCAAGGTAGCTGGGAAAGGTTCAAGGGGGGAATGCAGAGGAAGTACCGCCTGGGAGATGGACTGTTGACCACTGCGGACCTTGAGGCAATGAACAAGGAGGATTTTACGACGATAGGGGCCTTTGTTCAGGAATTCAAGAAGAGGGCGAGGAAGGTCCATGGGATTTCAGAAGAAGCGCAGTGCGTAATCTTCCTAGGGATACTCACGGCATCAGAGGTCGTTGAGCTGACAAGACATGGAGGGGGTAGCACTAAGCTCACCTGGGCCACCATTGACAGAGGGGTGGAAGTTGGATGCTTGGACTAGGTGGAGCAATGTCAGGCACGCCTGCAAAGGCAGAAGAGAAAGGAAAGAGATGCGACCGCTTCTGGGACCCCGGGAGTAAAGAGGATTGTTACAGACGTGCTAGGGCAGTTGGGGTATGCGACAGAGTCAGAGGTGCAGAGAAGGGTAGTGCCAGCGGTTCAGGTGAAAGGAAAGGAGCCGGTGGTGGGAGAGGCCGTTGAGGAAGAGCTCTGGGAAGAGGAACAGCCGGTGCCGCCGCACCTGACGAAGGCCCGGCGCAAAGTGCGTAACTTGGCACAGGGCGGGCAGGGGTCAGGAAAAGGGCAGGCACCCCAGGCCCTGGCGGCTGCTCCTCCAAATGTAGCAGCTCCATCGTCTAGTACGGGCCCCTCGCAAGGAGGGGCGCCCTCCTATGGACAGTGGCCCTGGCCGGTGATCAACGCAATTGTACCATGGAGTAGCCCGCCACCAGTACCCGGGTCGCAAATGAGTATGTCGCCACCTATCTACCCCGCAGCCCAGACCCATCCTATGGCCCCGCCGCCGTCGCCCGCTCCCAGTTCACAGGGAAGCGTGGCTGGAGGTGGAAACCAGGGGCAGGGCAATCAAGGCAACGGAGGAAGGGGTGGAGGAAGGGGGCGAGGCAAGAATGGCGGCGGACGAGGAGGACAATGGAATGGTCAAGGCCGGGGGAGCGAAGGCCAAGGAAACCAAGGCCAAGTGTATCAAGGCCAAGGGAACCAAGGCCAAGGGTATCAAGGCCAAGGAAGCCAAGGCCAGGGGGATCAGGGAAGTCAGGGATACGGAAGGCCCCGTTTTGATTGGAGGTCGGTCATCTGCCAGCATTGTGACCAGCAAGGCCACACTATAAAGTTTTGTAATATAAGGCGAGAGGATGAGAAAAGCGGGCTGATTTCCTCCACTATGGACGGGAACATTTATGATCAGTTTGGGGAGTTCATCAACAGAAGGCTCGGAGGAGTAAGGGCGGAAGCTCGACGGAGGGCGGCAGCTGGACCGCTACCTCCTGCCACATTCAGACTGTGGCAGGAGAAAAAATGACCATCGGTGGGAATAGAGGAATTCAGATTATGACAGGAAAATGAAGAACCACCGATTGGGGTACAAGAAGTGGGAAGCGACGAGGAAGTGACTCAAGGGCCATGTGGAGGAAGCAAGAGGGAAGAGCCCATAATCATCGAATCGGATGACGAGGACGAGGAAAGAAGGATGGAGCCGTCGTCCGTCTTATTGAGGAAGATGGAGGATTTACTGGACAAGGTGGGAAGGTACCAACAAAAGTTGGTGGCCCTCTGTGAGGAGGTGAGGGAATGGAAGTTTAGCATCCCTAAGGTGTTCCTGTACGACTCCGGCCCGGAGTCAGCGCGTAGGCGACCTGGAGTAAATGTGGTAGGGTCAAGCCCACAGTCAGGGGTGATGGGGAGACCCCTCACCCCGCAGGCCCGGCTGGCACAAGCAACACGAACGAGGAATCAAGCCAAGGCCAGTGCCAGCCAAGAGCCTCCGAGGAGGGAGCCCGAACTGGAAAAAAGGAAAGAGGCCATGGAAGTGGAGGATGACGATGATGAAGAGGAAGAAGACGAGAGGCTGCGCCGAGAAGAGGATCAGAGAGTGGAGCAGCGGGCAAGGAAAAAAGGGACCAAGGGAGAGGCCGAGCCGGTCATATGTGATGGACCACCCAAAAGGAAGAAGTACGCGGTTCGGTTAGAAGAGGGATTTGACGTAGAGAAAGTGATCGACCGACTGCTGGAAGGGCATAATGACCTCATGACCCTGAAGAAAATCCTAGCGTCGGCCCCGCGGCTCCGCGATGAACTGAAGGGGAGATTGTCGCGGCGCCTGGTGCCCAATGTCCATCTGGGTACGATCCTGCCCAAGGAGGCTGAGTAGGCGGAGTCGGGTACGAAAATGGACTGGAAGTGTGTAGCCTGCGGCACGGTGGATTTGGTGGTGAAGGATTCCAAGTGCGCAGCAATAGTGGACACTAGGGCGGAGATGAACATTATCCGGGAGGCGGACGCGATCTGATTCGGGCTGGATATAGACCGTTCTGGCTGCGGTATTCTGCATGGAGCCAGCTGCAAGGCCGTATTTTGTAGGACAGCCTCGAATGTACTCATCGAGGTTGGAAAGGTGAAGGCCCGGGCTTGTTTCTTCATCATGCCAGACGTGGATCACGGAATCCTCCTAGGGAGATCATTCCTGAGTAGGACAGAGACCATGATGTTCAATAAGCATGACGGGACGTTAATTCTTCTCCTATGCGACCCTGCCTGCGGGAATTACGAAATAATTACCTGCAGAAACGCAGGACCAAGGAGTATAAGGAATCGACCCAATCCAGGGTCGTTCACAATCGAAGAGTCAGAAGGTGAGCGCCGGAGGCTCCGGGCAGAACCAGAAGTAGGAGAGAGGGTGGAAGCATTTTCCCTCAGCTTGTCGAACGTCGGGAAGGCCATGGACTTGGTGGCCACGCATGAGATGGCAGATCCGGATGCCTTCAGGCCTTGAGAGAACACGTTCTGGAATGCCCCGAGGCAGGAAGGTTGGAGCTGGTATATCGACTCCCGGACGGCGAGAGGGGCCCCGTATCAACGCAAGCGCAGTCTGTGAGTCGGCCTTTTTTAGGGGGCGGCTCAACGGCGGATGAGGGAGAGTGCTCTAGCAGGGCCATGTCGTATTAACGAAGGAAATAAGGGGAAGTTGATTATAGGGGAACCTGACTTCCTATTGCCTCAAGAGCGGACTTTGATGGTGGAATTGATGAAGAGGAGGCATCGCGCCTATGTGTTTAGTGACGAGGAGCGTGGCAGGCTGGATGTGGATAAGATACCTATGATCCGCATCCACACCGTGCCACACGAGCCTTGGAACAAGAGAGGGGCGCGATACCCTAATCCTGACGAGGAAAAGAAGGTGGTGGATTACCTCGACGGCAAGATACGTACGCACGTCGCCGATTATTCCGTATGCGTCCCCGTGGTTCTGCTTCATCAAGCCTAATGGGACGCTGCGGTGGGTGCAAGATTTGCAGAGGCTGAATGCGGTGACCGTGCGGGATGCAGGAGGACTGCCGAATGCGGATGCATTGTCAGAATTTTGTGTTGGAAGGCCTATAATCTCACTTATAGACCTTTACTCAGGATATGATCAGTTCCCGGTCTACCCGCCGGACAGGCCGGTGACGGCTATGCACACGCCGCGAGGACTAATCCACATGAACATGGCCCCACAGGGATGGACCAACGCGGTAGCAATGGTCCAACGGGCCATGATTCGGGCTATGCAATCAGTCAACCCCCATATCACACAGCCATACCTCGACGATTTGGCGGTGAAAGGGCCGCCAGTAAAGGAAAGCGGCGAGGTCTTGCCAGGGGTAAGGCGCTTTGTTTGGAAGCACATCCAGGACCTCGATAAGGTCCTGAGTCTGCTCGAGGAGCATAACCTCACGGCGAGCGGGGCCAAATCCAGACACTGCATGAGGGAAGCAACTATCTTGGGATTCGTCTGCAGCGAGAAGGGTTGAAGGCCGGATGTGAAGAAGATAGACAAGATTACTGAGTGGCCAGTTCCTTTCCACTCAATAACTGATGTCAGGAGCTTCCTTGGTACGTGTGGATTTTGGAGGGCCTTCGTCAAGAACTTCGCCGTTAAGACAGAACATTTGAGGAAGTTAATCCGCCAGGATCAAGAATGGATTTGGGGTGAAGAGCAAAAGGAGGTGGTGGTCAGAATGAAGGAGGAGTTTTGAGAGGGAGGGTTAGTATTAGGGGCGCCAGATTATGATGCTACAGAGACGCGACCCTTCATTGTCGAAACGGATGCAGGGCCGACTGCCTTAGGAGGAGTTCTAATTCAGGCAGACGTAGAGGGAAAGGAAAGGCCCTTGAGATTTGAGAGTCGGACTCTCTGTACGACCGAGAGGAACTACTCTCAGTTCAAGAGGGAGACCCTTGCCGTCCTCCACTGTTTGCGAATCTTCCGGAACTATATCTTCGGCAGGAGGTTTATTTTGAGAGTGGATCCGACCGCCCTGGCCTACTCTCTAAGGAATTACGTTCCATCGGATCCGACGGTTGTCAGATGGCTGACGTACATCTGGATGTTTAACTTCGAGTTGGAGCGGATTCCTGGCAGTAAGAACTGGGCAGACGGACTAAGCCAGATCAACTGGGATAAACAGGAAGGGGAGGCGGTGGAGAATACGCCCCCAGTTGATGGATTTCTGGACCAGGAAGAAGATGTTCATCTTCATATCAACAAGTGGTCGCCGCGAGTACCCAGCTGTGTAGGCTATCCTATCTGGCAAACGCCGAGTGGGTACGAACGGAGGGATGAGTCCTCAAACCCTTTGAAGAAGAAGATCCTTGGGGAGGTAAGGATGTTCAGTGGATGATGGAATTGGCGCTGGCCAGTTCGCATAGTCTGGTGGAAGACATAAGAACGATTGAGGAAGGATCAGGCCAAGTAGAACGGCATGAGGATCTGATGGGAGGAATGTATGTCCTCGTCAACACGCTATTGCAGGAAAGCCTCGACCAGTCAGGCTCGTTGAACCCGGCAGGGAATGTGAACGAAGTGTCCGAGAGCCAGGACGACGAGTTCGAGGAGGGGGAGATTAAGGAGGCCTTTCACGCAGAAGAGTATGATGGGATCTACCTAGAGCTGGGGCTTCTCTTGTCTTGCGAGATGTGGGTAAGGAATGCAAGCGATAGGGCTCAGAGGATGCTACAGCGCTACTTAGTGCGTGATGGCCACCTTTTCGCAAGAAGAGAAGTGGGGAATCCCAGGAGAGTCGTCTGCGGTAGGAACTGCCAGATTGACGTCGTAGCAGCACTTCATGATGGCATTGCAGGAGGGCATCAAGGGGTACAAGCCACGTATGCCAAGATAAGTGAGTTGTACTACTGGGATGGGATGATGGACATGGTCGGGAAATTATGTCGATCATGCGTACCCTTCCAGGAGAGATCTCGTTTGAGGCAAGGAGAGCCGCTGCATCCAAGGCTAGAGCGAGAGGTGGGGGCTGTAGTGCATCTCGATCTACTTTTCATGCCGCTTGGGGATCAGAGCTATAACAACATCTTCGATGCGAGCGATAACCTGTCTGGCTTCGTAGACGGACGTGCCATTCGTACCAAGACTGGTTCAGTCTTGGTTAGCTGCATCGAGGAGTACTACCTGCGTTATCCTTTCGTCAGGGAGTTCGTAATGGAAAGGGGATCGGAATTTACTTGCCAGGAGGTGCAAGAGTTGTTATCAAGGTATGGTGTAGTAGCTAACTACACCACGGCCGCGCACCCCCATGCGAACGCTCCGGTGGAAAGAGGGCATAGTACCATTACGAGTCTCCTGGCTAAGTGGACCGAAGGCAGGCCTAATCAATGACCAAGATACCTGAGGGCAGCATTCTTTGTCGAGACCATTACAGTGAAAAGATCCACCAAGTACGTATTTGCGACGTTGTGGTATGGAAGACACACCACCTTCCCTATCGAGAGTTTTCTTAAAACTTGGAGGCGCCAGGATCTGGAAGTCGACCTGTCCTTTGAGGAATTGCTCGACATTCGGGTGCGATAGATAGGAGCGATGGAGGAAAGGACCCAGGAGGCATCCGATCAAGTGGCTAGAAGTCGTATGGATGATAAGACTCGAATGGATTTGTCTGCTCGGGTGAGGAAAGTGTCTCTGGCAGTTGGGGACGTCGTGCTTCTCTACAATTCATCGCTGGAAAAGCAGTGGTCCAGGAAACTTGATAAAAGGTAGTTAGGTCCCTACCGGATCATACGGGTTGGAGACTTCGGAGCGTACCAGATTGAGGAGTTGAATGGGACTGAGTGGAAGGATTGGGTATCTGGAACGCGATTGAAGAAATTTGTGGCGAGAGAAGAGGTAAGAGAGACGATCTGACTACCTTTAGAGTAGAAACGATAGGTTATGTAGGTCGGATAGGTTGTATGCTGCATGAGTATGGTCTGGTCTGAGCTTGCTTGATTGTCACTCGTTTGCTTACCCCAATGTGTGCCTGTTGTCTCCTTCGCCTGTTGTGCTGGTCAGACTTTACGAAGACAACCATGCCAAGAGGAGGGAGGGGGACACGGCCGCCTCGGAGGTCGTTGGGAGCATCAGGAGGATATGAGCGGCATAGGCCTCGCCATCGAGAGAGTACTCCGGTGTACGATGATGGGGACATCGAGCTATTCCTGGACAGCTTTTGGGATCATGCGAGGCGTATGGGCTGGACCGTGGCCCAGGCGATTGAGAGACTGAGGGGAGCAGGCAGGTTCGAGGAGCCTATTACTAGGATTCTTAGGGAGGCGACGACGAGGCAGGAGGTGAAGACGAGGATGCAGGAGCTGTGACCTTCGCCTGTGGGACCAGATGGCAGGCCGATCCGCCTAGAAATCGGAAATGCGGCAGATTTTATTCCTGCCTTCGAGTGGTTCATGCAGGGGCAGGGTATACCGAAAGATGAGTGGGCGAGGACGTTACCCCTCTAGACCAGAAAGGCGGAGAGGGCACTGACTAAGCAGGTCAGAGACATGGCTCGGGACTGGGAGAGCTGCAGGGCACATCTGAGAGAGGCCTTTCGACGGCCAGAGCCCCCTCAGCCCAGAGTTGAGAGGCGTCAGAGGAGTCAGAGGCAGAGGGACCCTGAGCCAAGGGAGGCGTGACCGTCTCGAGGAGGACGAAAGGCCCTAGCTAGGAGAGAGGAGGAGCCGGAGCCAGAGGCTGAGAAGCGAGGCACGTACCCTGAGTGTGGGTTCGGACCAGTGGAGTTTCATCGGTTTGCCGAGGGTGGATTGAGGAGGTCGCCAGCACGCACACAGGGGGAGCCGCCAGCATCTGAGGAGCCTTTGAGGGAATTGGAGACGCATTTGGATATCTCTCAGTGGAGGGCGTCGCCTCGGGGTGAGGAGCATGGAGAGCAGGCAGAGGAGGTGCCACAGGAGGAGGTGCCACGGGAGGAGGTTCAGGATACTCAGCGAGAGAGAGGGTTGGGCGATAAGGGGAGATGTGCAGGGAAGGAAGTGATAGAGGTTGGAGAGGACACGCCCCCACAGACGTCGGCGGTGGGTTTGAGACTCGGGGATGCACCAGGGAGCACTCGCCAGGCGGGGTTGAGGTTCCAGAGAGAGGAGGCCCCATTACCTTCATCAGAAAAGGCTCCTTCGCGAGAAGGGAGAGCAGAAAGGAGGAGAGAGGGGGCAGTTGTAAGGAGAGAAGCCTTGACCCTGATTGACAGACACCTAGCAACTCATGCCCTGGAGCACCCAAACCTGGAAGAGCCAACACCTGCAGAGCCGCGCCAGGAGCCGTGCCAGCCCGAGAAGGAGATGGAGGCAGAGATCCCGAAGAGGGTCGACCTCCGCACGAGAGAATGAGCGCCAACTGGAGAGACAGGCGAAGAAAAGAGGGCAAGAAGAACCAGGAGGATAGAAGAGATATGGCAGGAGAGGCAGAGGTTGGAGGCAGCGGGGGAACTTCCGGAGCAGCAGCAGGAGAGGCAGAGATTGGAGGCAGCAGGGGCTCTCCCGGGTCAGCCACCCAGCGAGCCAGCAAAGTCCCCAAAGATCCCAGAGATGTGGAGGGACTTCTGGGAGTGGAGAGGAGAGGAGTTTCCTTCGCCAACCAGAGCGGGGTTTGGGGTGGCAAGGAAGGCAGAAGAAAGGTTGGATCGCAAGATCAAGTTCCTGGCCAAGACAACTTTTGACCGGCACTTGTTGCTGGAGAGCGATCTGGCAGGGAAGAAGATAAAGGAAGTCGGCCATGGAGTACGCCTAGAGGCTATGGAGGTGGAAATCCAGGAACTCAGGGCATTGGTGGCCAGCTAGGCAGCTATCATCGAGAGCCTGAGGCAGCGATCTCAGGGAGGGGCGGACAAGCCAGAGAGCAGCCGGCAGGGAGAGCAGAGGCAGTCAGGGCATGGGTTGTCAGGACAACCATCTGCAGCAGAGCCTCGCCAGGAGCCACCTTTGGGGAGAGTTATCCTGGAGCCAGAGGAGGCGAGAGCCCAGAGGGAGGCAGAGAGAGAGGCCTTCGAGTTCAGAGGCCCTACTGAGCTCGCGACGCTACCTATAGCAGCGGCAGGCCCAGTCATACCTTTGACAGTTGAGGAACGGCTACCACCATCCAGCAGTGAGTCAGCTCGGGGCTCAGCAGAGGGATCTATGGACGTGCTTATTGAGGCAGTGCACTCGATGCAGGAGGAGGCGAGTTTGTTTTCGCCTGAGCAGAGGATAGAGGATCCTCTCGAGAGAGAGATGGGGATTGAGGCGGAGGGTGTCAACGAGGGCGGGCTCTTGAGGTTGGGCACACCTGAGTACGGGCCAGGGGGGATTGAGGATCGGCCAGGGCCGAGTACCCAGGAGATGGAGACAGGAGAGGGACCTTTGGATATGCCTCAGAGCCATGGGCTGAGCAGGGAGGCTAGCGAACCACCATCGTCGCCAGGGTCTCAAAGAGGAAATAAGAGGTCCAGGAAGTGGTTCGATACGTCCTGTTTCTTCTGTACAAAGGAGGGGCATCGAGCCCTGCAGTGTCCTAAGTTCCTGAAGGACAAGGCTGAAGGGAAGGTTACAGAGGAAGGAGACAGGATGTATGATAGACAAGGCAGGAGAGTAGAGGGATCTGCAGATGGGGGTAGGGCTCGACTATATAGGCAAAACCAGGAGGAGATGAGCGACCAGGACTGAGCTTTCCTATATGGTTGACATGTTGCGTATAGGATTAGAGTTAGGATTGGATGACATTCTACAGACCTAGGTGTTGTTTGCTTTTGTCAGGCAGTTTGGGTTGGGTTTTTGTTGAATCTGCCATCTTGAGGACCGAGACATGGTAGATGAGGCTTATACATACTTAGGTGGCCTACACCCTGATCTTCGAGAGACAGGCCCAACTTGTACTTTGAGGACGACATCAGTGTGAGTGTGGTTTTGAGTGAGTTGAGTGAGTTACGATCTAGGGACATTTGTGCATGGGGCGTTCTGCCCCTGAGTGTATGTTGGAGGCATTTCATGTGGGATATTTTATCCCTGAGTGTACATTATATCTAGACTTTTTTTTGGGACTACTGGTTGTATATGACGATCACTCTCACACTCACTTGTGTGGTCCTGGTATGATGGATGATGGTTTGGTATGAAATATGCGCGAGAAAATGTCTGATGTATTTTGTATTTTGTGAGTCTGGATGAAAGTGAACGGTCTACTCGCCGGTATACTCGTGCGACCCGCCCTTGGGCAGATGAGAGGGCCGAGTATAAGGCAAGGAAGCGCAGTCTGTTTTGTGGAAGGATGTGAGGATCCTGAAGATTTGTATGATGAGTATTTTATTGTTGAGTTGTGCAAAAGACCCATAAGTTGGTTTTTTTAACATGGATCATACGATGAAGTGGGACACCTGTGAATGAAAAGGTTGTCCATTATCTACTTCGACGACGTACCTTCAGAGAGGGAAGATGTGTTAAAGAAAAGGTCGCGGAAAAGTTCATCCTAGAAAGAGAGGGATGACTGAGAGACCTGTTAAAATGAGACCTCCTCTATAAATTAGGGGGCTAATAAGATTGATAAATGGAAGGTTGACTTTGAGTAATAAAAGATTAACGAGAGGGACCAAATTTTGTTTGACTATTGGTGAAATTTTTGGATGTCGCAAATGGTGTGTTTTAAGAGATGTCATCAAGATGTGTGACTTTCTTGCTCTGATCAAGCTGGGAGGCCACGGCCTTGTGAATCAGGCGGTGATTTTGTTTTGTGATTGTGGAGAGGTTGCCGTGCTTCCCCTGTGTTGTCCCACAGAGGAACTGGTAAATACCTTTTATGTGCGACAGGTTTATGCGTAGTGCCGCAGTAGGCTTGTATTGTTGCGACACACCGCCTGACCACTTGTGCTAATCTTGGACATTTATAAGAAGACCCAGCTAGGGGTATAACTAGCATCACTAAGGCGCAACCCTTGGTGTCGGCCGCTGTTTGGCGCAACCTGAGCAGAGGGTCTGCGTCTGGCCAAGGAAGTAATGACTTAAAGAGGCGTGAACGCCTATGAGGGTTTTACTCCTGCGGAGAGGCGTGGGATAAAGAGTCGAGTCATATGAGTCCTTTGAGGAAGTCCTCATTGAATGCTTATCAGGAACAGCCTATCGTGGCGCAACCCGCGAAGGCACTACCGTTGAAGTAACAATGCGGTGGGCCATAGATCTGGAATGATCACCCAGACTATGGTGGTTCAAGATGGAGACTTGGTCTTCCTGTACTAGACTGC